CTGACCTAAGAGAGTGGCAGCTGAGATTTGAGGGAGAAGTAAGCACAAGCAAGGGAAAGGGGGCCAGGGTGAGGTAAGCACAAGAATGACCTATCCAGGAAAAAGCCCAAGCTCAGCAAAGGCACAAAGCTACAGCAGGAAAAGTAAGTGGAGTCAGATACTGTAAGCAGATCACAGGTAGGACTTAGAACAGCAACTGCAAGGAATTGGGAAACCACTGATGGATTTTGAAAAGGAAATATTTTAATTTCCACTTCTGACAGATAACATTATTTGGAGTTAAGCTGAGTTGAGGGAAGGGCAAGATGATGTGGGTATGAAGGAGACCAATCCAATAGTACTGGTGAGGAAAGAGGCTTCCCTGCCTAAGAGTAGGGCTGTGTCTCCTGTGAAAAGAGGTGAAATCATTGACAGATATTTATAAGGCAGAATCAATTAAGATTTAATAACCGATCACATCAGAAGTGAGGAAAAAGGTGTTCATAATGGTTTCTAGATTTCTGGCATAGTGGTGCCATAAACTGGGAAAGAACACAGTGAGGACAGTGGGTTGTGTTGTGCTGTGATATTGACAGGTCATGAAAGGGGATAACTAGGACTATGCTAGTAAGTACAGAACACACTTAAGCATTACATGTGGTCACAGGGAGCAGATAAGAGGAGTTTCCTCTCCCCAAAATGGATTTGTCTGGACTGGTTCATAATGTGGTAGGAAAAATGTTCTCTGAAGATCTTATTAGGATAAAAGGAGCTGGTAAGAGATGCTATATAACAAATGAAGGGCTTCTCCGAAATATTTTGTTGCTTGTTTTTTATTAAAATGTGTTATAGAGCACATAACAGAATAAATGGAATGACATGTAACGTTCTTTCAAACCCCGGTTAGAAAACTTTATCTGATCCAACAGTGCATCATCATGAGGAAAGAGGGAAAAATTGAGGCTTATCTTTGGGGGAAAGAGGTGAAAATTGTACATGCACAAAAACCAATTCTGGACCAACCTAAATGCCACAAACCTTTTTAGAAGAAAATACGGGTAAATAATGATCCCATGATATGATGTATTTCCTAAACAAGACATAAAAGGCACAAACCATAAGACAAAAGAAAAACTAAACTCACATACATTAAAATGTAGACTTCTGCCCAACAACAAAAACATCAAAAATGTGGAAAAACTGGGCTGGTGATGTCAGTGGCACAGCACTTGCCTACCATGCACAAGAACCTGTGTTTAATCCCCAATACCACAAAACAAATGATTAGTAAAAATCAAAATGAATGTGAAAGAAATACTACAAATTCAGAGAAGATTGTTGCGATATATAACTAACAAAGGGGAATATATAAGCAATTCCTAGAAGTCAATAAGAAAAAAACACCCTATGTCTTATAATTTTTCATTAGTCATAGTTGATTTCGCAAAAAAAGAAAAAAAAAAAAAAAAGAGGCAAGCATGTCGCACAGGGGAAGAGCAAACCATCTGCTGATACGCTAATGGCAGAGGCAGAAGAATGGGCACTTTCCCACAGGTCGGGAAGGACGTAAGCAATTACAACCTCTTCGGAGGACAAGTTGTCAATATCCATTAAAAAATTTGACTTGGGAAGTGCACTTCTAGGAATTATTGAAGAGAGAAGCTTACATATGTAGAAAGATCAGTCCAGGACATTCTCTGTAATACTACTTCTATCAGGAAAATGAAAACAATTTAAAGTATCCAACAACAGGAGTTAAGTGGAAATAAATTACATAAATAAATTAGAGATAGAATGATATTCTGACAAATAACTATCACTAAGCTGTTAGGTGACAAAAATCAAGATACAGAACAGAATATAAAGAAAGGGCAGCAGGCTAGAAGGTAGAGGATGGAAAAATAATCATGCCTATATGCACAGACTATATATGCAGGTTTTTTTAAAAAAAATGATGAAAGTTATGGTCTCTGGGGGAAAGACTGAGACTGGGACTGGGACTAGTGAGTATCCACTTCCTCCTCTCTGACCAGTCTGCAGTGCCTTAAATTTTGTTTTTAACAAGGTATGTACATATTACCTTCTCAAAAGACAATATCTCCTAAGAAAATTTCATCCTTTCTCAAAAATAAAAAACTGAATAAATGATAATAAAACCATACTGAAACATCAACATGTATTTATTGACAGCTATTTATGAGGCAGAATCAACAAGACTTAGTAAAAAGGTGTCCATGATGGTTTCTAGATCTGGTACAGCAGTCCAGTTATATTCATAACATATCATCTATGGCTGCTTTCACATTATGCATTACTATAGAACTCATATGAGGTTTCTCTTTGGAGTAATGACAAATTAAATGTGGTATTGGATGCTCAAGTCACTGAATCGTACACTTTTACATGAGTGAACTGTATAGTATGTGAATTGTATCTACTTATTATTTGTGGTACTAAGGGATCAAACCCAGGGGATCACATATGCTAGGCATACACCAATTCCTTTGAATCATGTAAATAAAGCTGTAAACACACACACACACACACACACACACACACACACACAGTTTATAGAGAAAATAGGGATTAGAAACTGTGGCCTACAAATAAAATGTGGCCCATCACTGGTTTTCTTCTTCTCCCCCAACTGGTTTTGTTTTGTTCTGAGACAAGGTCTCATTATATAGCCCAAGCTGGCCTTGAACTTGCAATCCTCATGCACCAGTCTCCTCAGTAGCTGAGATTACAGGAAAGTGCCTCTGCAGCCGGCCCACCATTGATTCTTTTTTTTTTTTGGTACCAGGTATTGAGCTCAGGGGCACTCCACCACTGAGCCACATCCCCAGCCCTTTTTGTATTTTATTTAGAGACAGGGTCTCATTGAATTGCTTAGGGCCTTGCAGTTGCTGGCTTTTAACTTATGATCCTCCTTTCTCAGGCCCTTGAGCCACTGGGATTACAGGCGTGCCCCACCATGCCAGCAAAACGTTTTTTTTTTTTTTTGTCATTGTTTTTGTGTGGGTGGTGCTGGGGATTGAACCCAGGGCTTTGTGCACGCAAAGCAAGCACTCTACCAACTGAGCTACCAACATAGCCCTGATTTTTTTTTTTTTAAATATTTTTTACACGGTACATGGACATAATACCTTTATTCTATTTATTTATATGTGGTGTTGAGGATGGAACCCAGTGCCTCACAAGTGCTAGGCAAGCTCGCTACACTGAGCTACAACCCTAGTCCCCCTACCACTGATTTTTATAAATAAGGATTTAATGGAAAAGTCACACCTATTATATATGATATATAGCTGTTTTCTCATTACAAAACAAACCTCTGATATCAGAAATATCTTTAAGTCATACAATTGAGTATAAAGCAACTGCTGTACAACAGTAAGTAAGCATATTGCTTATGATCAAAACCCACACACAATACAACACAGTATAATTTTTATGAGTACATGCAATGGCATTAGGACATGATCTGGAAGGATAAACACAAAACGAAACTTATGCCTACAGTTACTTACAGGCAGTGGAAGGCAGACAAGGATAGGGGCTGGCCAAAGGGGACTTGGGCTTTATTTGTAATTTATTTGAAAATGTGTTTTATTTGTGCTAAGGAGACAGTATCCATGTATTACCTGAATATTTGGACTTTTTCTTCTTAATTTTATTTTTTTAGCGAGGCTGATGAAAGCAGAAAGTAACAAGACTAGGAAGAATAAAGAATGTGAGCTCTGATCTTCATCTTAATTTTACTATCTACTGCCAGAATTTTAAGTGTTCTTGATCCTACACCCACCTTTTTGTTTTTTCAATCTTTTTCCTGGCATTCCGCTTATGTTTCACCTTCATTAACTTCAGAACTGAGGTTTTCAAGTTGTATGGTGAAATGACGTGGAAGACAACTAGAAAGCAGGCACAGGCCAATGAATTTCTAGGTCTTGTAGACAATAGACTTATTTCAGGCATATAATTCCCATTTTAGGGCCCCTGGGATGTATGACTACTCCCAATCTCAGGTTTAGCTTTATCTTACTCCATGCTCATAGCCTTTGTATTCATATATTCATGTTCTTCACATAATCCTCATGAGAGCTATGGGACTTCTGACATTTTTATGCACTTCAGAATGCAAGGAAGTTTGGCTAGCCTTGTAACAAAGTGCAAACTAAGAATGAAACTATGTTGTTAATGAACAATCCAGGCCATAGAATGGCACAAGTGTAACCTGAGTTCCGACCAAGCTGTTTTATACCATAATTTATAGAGTTAATGAAGGTATAAATAATAAAAAAAAAAAAATCCATTTCTAGGAAAATCAAGCAGCTTAAGTTCAACTGGAAGAAAAAGTAAATTGATTTGGGACAGTTTTTAGTTTAAAAATCCTATGGAGATGCACAGTTTTTTGAAGCAAAAACATCAAATGACAAATGTAGTTTCCAACTACATATATTTATACAGAATTAGACCTCAGAAAAACCAGTCTTCTTGTAGGATACCTAGAAACTATGTATGATTCTGGAAAAGGCAAGTGCTCTACAGCAATAATAATAAAAGTAAGCATTCAAAATAAAAAGAAAGGCAAATTCTAAGACCATTAGAGCCAAGATGTTTAAAAGAAGTCCGAACTAAGGTTTCTCTGCTTAAGCAATTATCAACAGGGAAAACTTGTGCAATTCTCAGTACCTCAACCACTTCTGCTTCTGGAAACAAAAGTTAACTACACAGCTCAAGAAGTACAGCTTAGTTGAAATACCTTGAGAAAACTTGGTTGTACATGGAAATTATACATGCAAGGAGGGGAAGTCAAACTCATCTTTTAAACAATCTGGTTTTAAACAAAACTCAGTATTTTGTTCACAAATTTTTCACAAAGAATAGGGAACAAGATGTTGAGTATTAATGAAAGAGAAGCATTAAAAATTACACACACGTGTGTGTGCCGGCACACATGCACTTTTAACTTGATTTCAAGTTTCTCCATGGGGAAAAAGGTTTGCTTGTGATAAACTCACCTCCGTGTTCTAGAAATACTCGAACACATCTTTCCTTTCCTCTTGCTGCAGAGAAATGAAGCAGGGTCCAGCCATTAGCATCTCGGCCATTTGGAGAATAGCCTTGTTCTAACATCTTCCGCACTGTGTGAACATCCCCAGCGGCCACTGCAGCCTGAATCTGCAATTCTTCCTGAAGTTCAGGGTTCCTTCGACAATGGTGGTGTAACATCCTAGCGAGTCCACTTTTTACAAAGGATTCATTAGGTCACAGGGATCAGCCTTTCAGGAAGGTAGAATTTATGAAATTTAGAATAGAATATGTGGCTCCTAATATTGCATCCACAAAATATCACAGAATTATCTCCATTTGCTAAATCAGTAAACCTAAGTAACAACAGTTCATATTCCTAGTTAACATTAAGACAAAAAGTTTCAGGAATTTCACTAAGATTACAAATGATTTTGCCAGGTATTGAACTCCTGGAACAAAACATTTCTTCTTTAGCCTTTTGAAAATTCAAAACAAGCAACATATGGGCACAAGAGCTTTATTACAGATAAAATGGGAGGTGACACCAGGCAGCTAAAAAAAAGTGGGAACCACCTGTTTTAGGAGTTCTGATTTATGTGGTGCACCACGGAAGAGATTTAAGTTGCAAACATTTAAGGATTCTATCTTAGATCAGAGTTAGTAAATATGGAGTATCAAATGGACAATCCATTTTCTTTAAAGACTAAAGACAATTTTGAGAAGTCAAAAAAAAAAAAAAAAGAAAAATCTTTAGGCTGGTTCTTTAAAGTAAATCAATATCTTATTTTTAGCATATGGTGAAAGGTTGGGGGAAGGAAAAGTAGACTGGATTAAGTAAATTAGAGTAAAATATTTTTATTATATTTACCTTCCTTTTGTCTATTTCAATTTCTTTCTATCAGTGTTTCCCAGTTTATGGTATTTGATGTACGATCTACTCCTTTCCTTTTCTGCCACATCCTTTTTGGCACTTTTCTAATTTGTTTTTCAGAAGTTTAACTTTATAAATATTCAAAGCAGAAAAATTATGATATGTTTTTAAACTCTAAGAATCTGAAAAACCTGTGAAGTACCTGTTAAAATAAAATTATTTTAAAGGAAAAGTAATACCTAGAATTTCCATAAGCTCTAGTAGGTCGCAAAAGAGAGATGTACTCAAACCAAATATAAAATGAGATCCTCATACAAACAGGAACAATCCAAATTGAAATGATGAAAGGTCACATCTCATATGTGTGAGTACAAAAAAGTTTTTAAGATTTTAGGTATGCGTAGAAACCTAAACTCTAATAAGCTTCTAGGAAGATATTCCAATTGAGCTCATTTGAAAGAATAGATCACCCTCATCTCTTAAGTAGTAATTTCCATTTCTAACAATAAAAATTAAAAATTATGTGATAAGGCCATTTAAAGACATTTTGTTCTCATATGTAGGTTAGACATTTTGAGATAATCTTGTGACCAATAATAATTTAACTTGCAAAATTTCTCCTTATAGATTATATAGTTTAAACTAAGCCTACGTTAGGTCAAACCATCATAGCTTAAGAGTACAAATACCTGATGTGATTTTATACATGGAACATTATGTTATTACATATTCATAAGTACTACTGTGATGTAATTTAAAAATATCAAGCTACTGCTACAAATAGCTATTTTCTCAGAGACAATAGAGAGTTCTTAACAATTTGTTATCTTAAAAAACAAAATTTTCCTCTCTGTCTTCACTTAGTTACTTCATTGATATTAAATCTGATCTTAGAAACCTTAAGGAATTAGAATTTTTGCTAATTCTCAGTGTTATAAGAGAAAATGTGGAAGATCATCAGAAAGAATTAATAGAAACTGTAACTATATGCTCAAAGCAATCATCTTTAACAGAATGTTTTAAATGGGATGATTTTCTTGGAACTTAAAGAAGGTCTGCTGTACAAGAAAAAGTCTGAAACAGTATCAAAACAAACCTGGATTTCCTTTTAGCAAGTGTTGTATGTAGTACACTACTGTTATGCCAAATTAAAAAAAAAAAGTTGAAACAATATCAAAAATAAACTGGCATTTTCTTTCAACAAGTGGTATATGTAGTAAACATTAACTGATTTATTTATTTGGTTTTTTGTTTGTTTATTGTGAGGGGTGGTAATGAGGATTGAACTCAGGGGCACTCAACCACTGAGCCACACCCCAGCCCTAATTTATATTTTAGAGACAGGATCTCACTGAGTTGCTTAGCGCCTCACTGATGCTGAGGCTGGCTTTGAACTGCGATCCTCTTGCCTCAATCTCCTGAGCTGCTGGGATTACAGGCATGTGCCACCATGCCTGGCTGATTTATTTTTTTAATTCATAATTCGTACATTTCTTTATTTAATTAATTTATTTGTTTTTGGTGTTTGGAATTGAACCCAGTATGTGCTCTACCATTGAGTTAAACTCCCAGCCCCCATATGTTAGCTGATTTCAAGAAAAGTAAAAGCTAAATGGGTATCTCCTGATGTAGTATAGCTGACTGATAATCCTGATGTACCTTACCTTACAGAAGAGTGTCCCTTCTCCTGGTGTATGGATTGCCTAATAACCATTGTGCACATACAGCATTGTGGGGAGGGGTTCAGAGGGTGTCCAGGTTGCAGAGCAAAAGAGCCTTCTTAACCTAAAAATAAATAACAATCACAGGGAAATTCCTTAAAATAATAAAGAAATCATAGCTACTTGCACAGACTACTTTTTGGTGAGCTTAAATATCCGTACTTTACCATAAATCTATACAGAGAGAAAGAACTCAGAAAAACTCTTAGAAAAAATGATCTTGTCACTTACAATATTCCTGAAGGTAGTATCAAACGTGATTTACTTCCAGACGCCCACAACCCCCATGTATTTTTTTTTTGAAAAAGAGTAGAGAAATCATATATTTGGATTCTGGATGCAAGCACAGATTCTTCTTTTTCCTCTACTGAGAATGTATCTTCAGACATTTCATTTGAATTATTTTAACTGACACCATGAGTTACCTGCTGTGCTTTCTAAACAGGACTAAAAGGAGAAATGTGTGCACTGAATATCGAAGACGGCCAGGGTCAAAATGGAATCTATGACAACTAAAAGGTGAGGATAAATGCTGGTTCCTCATATGCTCAAGAGGTATCAACTCAATAATGTTAAAGATATTATTTCTTTATGCATACATCAAACTAGATAAAACAGTAACAATACTTTTGCCAGCTTCCCCACATGAATTCTAAAACAAACAAACAAACAAAAACCTCTCACTACAACTAAAAGAAAAGGGATCTTTCTCCATGTCAAGTGAATACTAGGTCTGTAAATTCCATTCAGGTTAAAGACACATGCAAAGTGACTTACACAAACAACAGGAGAATCACTTGAGGAATTTTGTATTGGAAGAACCAGCACCCCTTTCCATGACGACAGGATAGAGGTACCACACTCTCTATCACTTAAACCTTCAGATGAGGGAAAGGCCAGGCTACCTGGCAACCTGACAAGCTGTAGGGAAAAAGTAGAAGTTGTAGGTACTGCTGGCTGCATGCTAGAATTTTCACCAATCCAAATTAGATAGACCACTCCTGCATTTTGCTCTTTTCATACCTGATTCTTTCTTGTCAAACTTTTCCAAGGAGGGCAAAGACTGCTAGCTTTCACTGGGAAATAAAATCTAATATTCTATCTTATTGTTTCTAAATAAATGAAGTAGACATGATGAGAGCACCTTTACACAAGGCAAAGTGTAAATAATGTGGAACAATCCTTATAGAAATGACTAAGTCTAAAGCTAGGGTAGGAAATATACAAGATGAGCCTGGAGCATCTTGTAGTACTAAAATGAATGTGCTTGATGAAAAAACTCACCAATGGACTAAGTTGAGAGAACAAAGGAACCAAATGAAAGAGCTTTCAATGGCCAAAGATGAAACAACTGGAGCAAGGAAATACTTCAATAGTACTGAATTATAACCCAAAATATAAAATAAATCCCAGTGAGTACATATTGAAATAAATAACTGGACAAATAAAGAGAAATACAATTCCTGTTCAGAGTTCCAAATAACATGTGGACTAGTACCCACTTGAGAAGGTAATAAATATATATTAACATAGGTATCAACAACAGAAATTGGCTACAGAATATATGGGGAACATTGTACTATCTTTGTAATTTTTCTAAGTTATGCTAAAATAAAGTCTATTTTAAAAATGCAAATCAATTATTTCCAATGATGTGCCTCACACATTTCCACATATGACCTGTGATCGTTTTCCACATTAATGACATTTACATGTCAGAAATGAATATCATTGGACACCTTATTTCTAAGTGTGTCCTAGCAGCCCCTGCTCCCAAAAGTAGAAAAGATCCAACATGGCTTCAAGCCCATAAGAATCCTTGTGGTTTTTACTGGCTTCTAAATAGCCATCACTACTACCATGGAGGTGGGTAGACATGATGGGGAGGAGGCCATGACAGCTGAGAGGTTGAGGAAAATATGAAATACTATTTATTTATAATATCAGAAAAGACTGGATATTAAAATATGAAGTGACTAAATTATTTCTCCCCATAAAAAAAGATGTATGAACATTAGTAACTTGTGATAATTTCATATAAGTTACTTCAATCAAACAAATGAATGTCTGCTGAATGCCTGAGATGGCCAGCATGGTGTTAGGCATTGGCCATAGATATCAGCTCTAGAGAGTATTTTAATAGAGAGTTCTGCATACTTAAAATGATTTTTTTTAATCCTAGAAATTTTAGGATTGTTTTTCTCTTTTCTGATAAAACAAAGCACTATAAGTTTAGATTTAAATCAAAAAAGCACTCCTTACATATATCTGGTACATCACTCTTTATACGGAAAAACACATACAACTATGTACACATGATCCCTGTCAGTTGCACCATTTTAAATTATGGAGGGCATTAATTTATTACCAAAAATCCCAATAGTCCAAAGCATCAGACAATTTTCTCTTGGTGTTATTTGATGAGAGCTGCACCTAATAGGGTATGGCTACTCATGTATATATAAATAAAGAATAAAAAAAGACCAAAGAACTTAAAAGTGAATACTGTATTCACTGGTAAAAATGCCTATTACAAACCATCAAGGAATTCCAAAGGTGAGAATGGAGAAGAGCCTATTTCCCCTCAAGGAGTACCTGTTTAAAAATCTGAAAGCTCAGGGAAGTCACCTATCAAAAAAAGGAATATGGCAAAAGAGACAATTTTTAAAATAACATAATTCAGTATAAGACTATCTTGATGACTTGGACTCAGGAACTAATGATCCTCTAAGGATACAATCTTTAGAAATTCCATTCTAAGTCAGAATAAAGCAAAAAGTATACAAATGCTGAATACTGTAGAAGTATGTATCAAAGTGAACCATTTCCATAATATGTATCACTTTTATATGCAGTCTTATTGTTCAAAGTTAACACTGTGTTTAAATTTTGCTAACTCATCTTTTCCTCTCTACATGGGGTCAAAAGAAAACAAACTTGGGTTCCCAAGGTTTTATACTGTTTAATCATATTAGAAATTACAAGTTCAGAAATTAAGATAAATTACTGGTTAATTTCCATATAGATGTCAAGTGAATTTCATTTAGTAAAACCAAAACTTCTTGCTTCACATATTTAAAAGAAAATATGTGATATGATAGTGAAATATAAAATACCCACAAAACTAAACATATTTTAAAAAACCTCTACAAAATTATAAAATCTTCATAAAGTTTGACCATATTTCTCTAATTTCCTTTGGTATAAATGACTAGACCTCAGTGGCTTTTTGCATATTATTTTCACTAAAAGTTCACACATTTTTTGATTAAGTGATACAAATTAGAACTGTCTTCATGATTTCACACAAACTAGAAACAAGCTAACAGCTTGCTACTCAAAAAAAGAAATAAGCATTTCCTTGCAGAGTAAGCAAAGATAGACGCTATAAGGAAATAAAATCAACAACTTCAAGGATTTTGGCTCTAAGGGGGAAAAATATTCTACCAGTGGCTCATAAGACCTAAGAGGAAAGATGGATGCAGAAACACTCCAAGGCCCAATCAAAGTATACAACCTAGCTGAAATGCATGTTAATGAGCTCTACTTAGTGATTAAGAGCCTGGAACCCCACAAAAAGTGGAGGTATTATTTTAAAATCACTCAACATAGCACTGTGTTTGTGTTCCTAAACAAATATAAGGGTGTTCATAGTTCCTCCAAATTACTGGGCCTGTGAATAACACAGGGATTTATCATCATGTGCAATGTATCTATGATTCACTTAAGTTTCAGCAGAAAACCCAATACTTTTCACGTAGTGCAGATGAAGCAATAAAGGAATTTTAAAGTTCACTTATCCAACTCAACTCAAAGCTTAAATCACAAGTATTAAAAATGATGCTACCTTATTCTATTAACCCAGGTATGCCAATACAATCTTTGCAGCCTCACATGTCAGTGCCTAGAAAGTCTTCAAGAAAGGAGACAAGTGTTATACTGTGGACTGCTTTCACTTGAGAATGAAATGAGAAGCTGAAAGTCAAATAGTAGTCATAAAATTTAACTGACTTTAGGATTTTTAGAAGTAGCATATGCCTCTAAGTCACCAAAGTTAAATATGAACAAAATAAATAATTGTCAATGTATAATCCATAGTATTTTCAAGAGGCATCACTGAATAGCTTCAATTAAAATCAATTATTCTCTTCTATGTGATTATAAATGTATTATTTGGTGACCAAATAAATCAGATGAGTTTGTTTTCAAAATGATGTGTCTGGCAAAGGGAATGAACATAAAGTTGGCAGCCAGACTGAAAAAAAATATAAATGACCTAAGTGGCCATGTTGCTAATAAATACCCAAATTAAATATCTGGCATAACCTAGATCAAATACTCTCCATCATGCTAATCATATTCTCTAATCTTAGAAAAATGATTAAAAGCTGAGCAGATCCATGATATTATTTAAGCAATAGAATGAACTGGTGGGAAACATGGGGAAAGCAATGCCCTCTTTTCATAAGTTTTTGACAGGTTACAGACTTCCCCTCTCTTACCATCTCAGGTAATGGAGAAAGCCCTCAGAAATGAAAACTCACTAGGATTAAATCCAAAGCAGAAAAAATATTTCACCAAGAAGGGTTAAATAGAAAATATATACTTCATATGAATCTTTAAATCATATCTCAAATATTTAGCTTTTTTTTTTTTTTTAGATTCTAAAGTAATCATTAGGTATCTCCGGTTCCTTCCATATTTAAATAATAAAAAGCAGCATTTAACTTTATAGCTTTATGCCTAGCTTTTAGTGAAATGATCAATTAGCCTTGATTCCTACATACATATATAAAGGTCTACCTAAACTTTCACCATAGAACAGTCACTGGTACATGCTATTTCTAATTGTATTCAGAAAATACTCTTGACATCCAGTTCCAGATTTCAAGAATATCCAAATTCCTTAAAAGTATCTTTAGTTATATCTGGAGAATGAGTTGAATCATATGAAAAGCAGAAATTCCAGTGGAACAAAGTAAAAAAAAAAAAATCATCTATTATTTTAAGTGCTTTTTCACCCAAAAAATCCTTACACAATCTGAAATATTAAAAAAAAAAAAACAAAAAAAAAAAACCCTGAGGTTAACAAGTCACTTTATACCCTTGCTAGCAGATGCTAGAAAAGTCATTCACTTGGCTGATTTCTGAATTAGCCTTTATATAATTTCTGTGCTCATATGCTCTCTTTAGGAATTATATTCATGTCCTAAACTTACCTTTAATGCATTTTCAGAGGCAGCATCAAAATAGGCAGCAGAAATGTGACTACATGAATTAGATGCTTAAATTTTGATCTAGCAAATTCTCTGTAAGGGTTTTGAAATGAGAAAACTGATTTATGAAGAGGGCCAAAATTAAGCCCCAGATATCTAAACACATCAAAATATCCTTTATTTTTGTATTCCTGACTGTAAAATGTTTGTTAACAAAACATTGTGTAAATTTTTGTTTGTCTAAAACATCTGTGATGTAACAAATATCTCTTTGTAAAAATTTTGGTGTCTATCCATATTTGTCATACACAAATGTGGGAAAACCTAGAGTTAATCACATGTAAATGCTTCAGGAGCTAATACTGTTTTCATTCTATTCACACTTTAAAAGTAAATATATCCACTTTTTACTATTGAAAAAAAAATCAGAGTATTTTTGAAACTTAACAAATTTCAAGCCAATAGTTTACCCTCCCCTACCAGACTTTCAGGTGAGGTAATGAAAAGATTTTCTGACAGAGGTACAGAAAAGGTGACAGAAGTAGCAAAGGGGGTGGGGGTAAGTAAATTGTGGTTTAATTAAAAAGCAGAGTCTTCAGAATTAACAAGCAATTAACATGAAATTGAAGAATTCCTATGAGAGTAAGGAAGGTGGGAGAGCTACAAAAAGGTCTCAAAGCCTCAGAGCAAATGGCACAGTGTATCAAAAGATAATGCAAAACATGGAAACTCACTGAACGGAGAGGAAAAGGAAAATACGTTTCTAGAGTAGAGAAGTTATTAAAATGTTAAGGATCAGGCCTTGCAGTGTTTTTGTTTTTGCTAGGAAACTGGGGTCTAGGAAAGGATGCATCCCCAAGCAACCGCCTGAAAATAATGCACTGCCTAATGAGGTAGGGGCCAGGAATAAACAATGGGGGAGGGGAGGTCTGGCTCATTACCTTTATGGAAGATGCTGGTCAGAGGTACTCTGTCTGCTGCTTCTCTAGAGAGTGGACAGACCTCCTTCCTGCTCTTGAGTGTCCTCCGGGGTCAGTTCACACCTGGAAAACGGAAACCAGTGAGTGATGCAGTGCCCCAGGGGCGAAGAGAAGAGGGTTCTAAGAAAGAGGGAGCAAAAGAAAAAGCTAGAAAGTGGCAAAGGGCAGGCAGGCAGAAACAGTGATTTTTCCTTCTTCCCAGACCTCTAGGTAGCCCCCTTCCCTTCGGAGGAGGTAACTGACTTTACCTGTTTCCTCAGCTGCTGCTTCTCTTCCTTCTTTCAGCCTCCTCCACACTCACCAACTTCTCCATTGAAGAAACACCCCAGGCAGGGCCGGACACGGGTGTTCCCGATTCTCCTGGGTGCCTCACGGCCCTAGCCCGGAGAGCATCCAGATAGCCGAGTAGGGTAGGGGTGGCTGTCCTGGCCTCCGGGCAGCTTCGGGACAGGGGTGCAGGGAGGAAGTCCCGGTTCGGGGATTGGGGGGGACAGCCCCGGTCCAGGGGCTCGGAGCAGGGGGGCTGTCGCGCTCCGGGCCAGAGGCTTCCAGCTACGGAGGGACTCAGGAGGTCTAGGGACAGCGAGGTCCTAGGTCGTACAGAGTCCGAAGTGCCAGCAGCCGGGTCTCCGGACAGGGGGCTTTCGGGATGCACTTTGCACTGGGCCACCCCCGCCCCCTCCCTCCAGCACTTTGGGGTCACTGGGATGGGACCAATCCTTCAGTAGCCAATCAGCGGCCGCACTAGAGCCTGAGCCCCGAGCCGTAAACCAGGTCCGGGGTGGGAGGGGGGTGGGGGGTGGGGGCGACTTGGTTGGTTGGTTGCTTCCTTCTCCCCTCCTTTCCCCAGCAGCCCCCACCCCCTATCTGCCGTAAAGCTGCTTGCGGATTCGCGACAGTTAGGGGAGGCGTGTCGATCGGAGCTAAGACTCGTCTCTGATTGGTCTCACTCACTTCCCCTCGGCTTCCCCGCGGAGGCTTCCAAGGCTCCGCCCCTGGCAGAGGGACTCGAAGTGGTTGCTAAGAGACACTGTACACCGAATGGTGGCTGTGCGCATGCGGGAGGAGTGGATTAGCGTATACATTCCGTGAACTACGGTGGCCCTGAAAGAACAGAGGTGAACTTGAATGGCGTTGCGAAGGCCGAGAGGCCTGAGGCAGCTCCCGGACAGGTAACCCCAAGCGGTCGTTGAACTGAGCGACAGGAGATACGTGTGTACAGCAGAGTGAGGGTCTGGTACCGGAGCTGGGGAGGCAGCAGTCTCCACAAAGTGAGGAGGGAGAGGCCCTGACCCGCCGCCTCTCCTCAGCGCTTCCAGTGCCCAATCTTTGGTGCATCTGTCGGTCTCAGAGACCCGGTGAGCTACCAAGCTGGAGATGCCTCCCGGAGGCTGCAAGATAGCATTGTCTTTGGAACCGAGATGCTGGCTCATGGGCTTTCCTGAAAGGATAATGATCCTCTGGTCCACGGTTTCCAGTGAGTGAAGGTAACGGGAGAGTGGGAAACATGTAACATGGGCATATGAAGACGTATTTATTAAATGCGTTAATTCATTTCGCTAGTATTTACTGGCCAAGCACTGTTCCAGTCTTGGGGAGACAACAGAAAACAAGAGAAAGGCAATCACTTGTGTTTTCATTTCATCAAGGGAGACTAATACAGGGTGATCAGGGACAGTCTATACTAAAAGCAAAATAAGAGGATCGAATTTGCGAGAACGTGATGGGTTGTTTTAGGTAGTCAGGAAGGGTCTTAGAGTGACATTTGAGCAGCAGTCTGAATGACAAAGAGCTAGCCATATCGGTTGGAGAGGAAGAAATTTGCAGGTAGAGTGAATCAGAAGTACAAAGCTGTTGATGCTGGAATAAGCTTTGCTGTTTACAGGAACTGAAGAAAAAAATCCATGTAGCTGAAGCAGAGAATAAAGGGTAGGGGGAGAGCATTGATAAGATTAGAAGGTGTGGGGCAGGCTGTAGATCTTGCAGCACCTTGTTTGCTTTGACAGTTTCTTATTTATGTTTGAAAAGACCACTGGCTCCTCAATAGAGAAGACTGGTGGGCCGCTGGATTACAGCTGTTATAGTTGTCCAGGCAAGAAATGATGTCTCAGACTAAGGTCACCCAGTACATCAGACATTTGACTCCCGCCAGTATCCTCAAAAGTAAAATACCTACTTGATTGTATATGAAGGAAGTATTATAATGTATCGACTACTTTTATGTAATTAGATATATTAGGATATTTTGTGGCAGGTGGGAATCATAACCACTTAAGTTTGTTCTCTCCTGTTTTCTTCTACACTGTCATTCATTTATTCAAGAATACTTGCTTGGTGCCTTCCATGTGAGCCATCTACGTGTTTATGTGGACAAGCAGGGCTCAGTTCTGCCCAGAGAAGCTCATCATCAAGTGTGGAGGGAACCAAAGAACCAAAGTTGAGGAGAATGCAGTGAAACAGATACTGTGGTATTAACCTAGGGATTATATGGCAGGACTGCCTGATCCTGACTTGCATATGTAAAAGGCTCTCTGAGGGTAATGGTTTCCAAGTTGAAGGTGGAGGGTGGAGGTTGAGTATGATTTAGTCAGAAAAAAATGGGTTACACACAGCCTGGGAGTCTCTTAAGTGCACAATTTCTAGGGACCTTAGAAAAAGCATAGAGCTTAGTTTGTGGTCTCAGAAGTGAGGAGACCCCAATAGTTAGATCTCAGAGGACCTGGTAATGCCATGTATAAAGGGCTTTGAATTTATCCCAAAGAAAGTAAACGTTTTTTCAGAAGGCAGTGGATGTAAGGTGGGCCAAGATTCAACCACTTAGGAAGGAATCTGTTGCAGTTGTCTAGGATAAAAGTGGTAAATGCAGCAATGACAGTGAGGATGGAGGGAAGACGGTTGGGGAAGGGTTGGAAGATGCCCAGGTTTCTAGCTTGGGTAACAAGGAAATATAGAAGTCATATTGAACTGAGGAGTGTAGGAGAAAAGCAAGTTTGAGGGAAGAGTCAAAGAGTTGAATTTGCCAGGTTGAGGGCTCCAGAAAGCATGTTGGTACTTGAGTACAGACATGTGACTTGGAGAGGTTCAACTTACCATAAGTATCTGTAGAAATTGTACTTCAAATGTTGAACTTTGGTCTTTTCCTAGGCTGGCAATAATGCAGTCCAGTACTCTCTCAGTGGTGCGCAGTGGCAGTGAACCACATCCCAGTCAGCCACAGGATCACCAGTGGAAACTACCAGTACTCTACGTATACTGTATTTTTCTGGATATTGCGTTTTGTGGTTTTGCATCCCATCAAATCTACAAAATGCCAGTCTATGTCTGTGCCTGCTATATCATCTGTATCCGTGTAATCATTCTGGTTTTGTTTTTCACTTTCCATAAGGTATTCAATAAGTTATATGAGATATTCAATGCTTTATTATAAAATAGGCTTTATGTTAGGTCATTTTGCCCAACTATAGGCAAATGTAAGGGTCTGAGCATGTTTAAGGAGGTTAGGCTAAAGTATGATGTCAGTAGGTTAAATGTATTAAATGCATTTTTAACTCATGATAGATTTATCAAGAATAATATCATTGTAAGTCAAGGAGCATCTATAGAAAGCTCAGAAAAAATCTAAAGACATTGAAAGTCCACAAAAATAAGTGGGAAAAATAGATTAGTAGGGAGAGGAGAGTAAAATGGTATATTTTAAAGTCTGACATCTCACACTGATAGAGAAGGCACTTGAATGTTATAGATTAATGGTTAAATTAATATGCATATCTGGTGAATGCCAAAGATTTCATTCTCTTGTTCTGTGTAAGACTTTTCAGAAAATACAAATTTTTAGAACATCTTTATTATTATTATTCAGTAAGAGCCAGGTTGCAAATCATGCAGGGAATTTTCATCATTTCTGGTTGTTTCTTGAAGCTAAAACCCTTTAGAAAGTGTAGTTATATAACTGTATATTAAAAAGAATAAATGCCAAACTCTGCAAGCAGTTCCAAAACAGAGATCTCAACAAGAGTCTAAAACAGTAATATGCCATTTAAAATGAGGTAACTCTTCCTAAAACAAAATAAAAACACTTTGATGTATATCATATATTTGGGGGTGTAGAACTTCCAATTTTTTAAATCATTTTTAGTTTTAATCTCATTATACGTCTTATCAGTCATATTCAGAATTTCAAATCTCTAAATTTCCCTTTTTCCTTAAAATAGATAGCTGAAATATAGTTAGAAACTATTGTAATTTTAGGAATAACCAGAATAGCATTTGTAATTAAGTGGTATTAAATTATAGTAAATTAGATGGTTTCAACTTTACCATGATGTTTTCCTAATTTATTATAAAAGCAAAACAACTTCCCAGGAAATTTGAAAGGCATTTAGAAGACCTAACCTTTAATCCAACTATACTACCTTGTAGTTTTTTGTTTGTTTGTTGAGATAGCATCTTGCTGTGTGCCCAGGCCAACTTCAGACTTGGGATCTTTCTGCTTCAGTCTCCTGTGTAGCTGGCCTAAATATATTTTTGTAGTTTATTTTTGTCTTTATTATTTTACATAGCTGCAACAATACTTGTCTTATGACTTTCTAGACTTAATCTGTTCATTCTGTCTATAAAGTTAATCCTGAGAAGTTTCCTTACGGGGAACCTTGATCTCAATACCAGGCCTCCAGTATTCTTCAGGTGATGGAATTTCACAGTAGCAAAAGAATCTAGGAATCATCTGATCCAGTGATTTTCACATTTTTTTTTTTAGCAATAGTCCTACAATGTATGTGTGTGTGAATGTGTGTGTGTATATATATGTGTGTGTGTGTGTAGGTATGTGTGTATATGTATATATATATATACATATACACACATACCTACACACACACACACACACACATATATATATATACATATACACACACATACATACACACACACACAGAGACATATATATATATTCATGTCTTATTAGCAACAATGTTGCTATATTAGGCCCTATTAACAGACTGGACCAAACCAGAACAGAGTCACCTGTGTTAGATGCCAGTAATGTAAGAACTAAAAAACAGGAGATGCCCAGCAACAAATCAGAAGGGGCCCTGTGTGCTTGAGCTAGCAAAATAAGGATGCCCCCTCTGTTTTAACCTGATAAGGAAAATAACTTTGAAGTGACCAATCCATTTTTTTTGTTTTTCTCTCCTGCTCAGCTCATTGGAACACCTTCTCAATTCATGAATTATTAATTTGAAAGAAAAAACTATTGAGAAGGACATGCTGGTATATGCCTTTAATCCCAGCTACTGGGGAAGCTGAAGCAGTAGGATTGCAAGTTTGAGGCCAGCCTAGGCAACTTAGCAAAACCTTGTCTCAAAATTTAAAAAAGGACAGGGATTGTAGTTCAGTGGTAAAGCCCTTGTCAAGCTCCAGAACCACAAACAAAGAAAATGCCTAGTAGATCTTTAAACTAAATTTCTTGAAAAATTTTTTAATAGCTCATGTATTTATAAGTTCAGTTTTATAATATGTACTAATTATAAAATCAGGAAATTTCAAACTCCAAAAGAAGGAAAGAGAGGGAGAGAAAGAGGTATATAAATATGTAAATGGTTATGGAGAACATATTGTCTTATAGCTGTCACAGCACCCATGCAGCTCAATGTATTTGCTAAATACTGCTTCATCTGAAAGATGAATGTATATGAACTCTTGGTGAGGGACCTGATCACTGAGTTGTTTCCTGATTGTCAGCTCTTCCATATTTTTGGCCATTTGTTCTTCATCTAAAGTCCTGTTGGGCTGTGGATATAGTTCAATGGTAGAGCACTTGCCCAGCAGGTTCAAAGCTCTGGGTTCCATTACCCATAAAATCCTGTCATCAAGTTGCAACTATTTTTCAAGTGATTGAGAGATATTATTAAATGACCTATTAAATTGTGCAATTAAATTTTCTAATTCTTAAATTACAACTTTTCATTGATTTAAAAGCACTTTAGATAGTAGAGGTCTTGGAGTTTATTTTGTTTTGTTATGTTTGCATTGCTGCAGATCTAATCAGGGACTGCACATATGCAGAGATTTGTTTGTTTCATTTGCAGGGTGCTGGGGATCAAACTCAGGCCTCTTATCTGTTAAGCAAGAACTCTACCACTGAGTTCCACACCCTGCCCTAGGTTACAGAGTATTTTTTTAACAAGTTAACATTGATTAGGTTTTAATAGACATCATTTTTTATTCACTTAGATAATATCAAATTTACAAGAGTTTGAAGCACTAATTTTACAACATATAAATGAAGAAACTCAGGATAAATATTTCTGAAGTTTAATTCATAAAACTCTTATTCAACCAGAATTGAGTTTATTCCTTGAGTAGAAAAAAATTATCATTTGTAAAATGCCCAAGTGCTGCAGTCTGGCTGGGCACAAAATAACCGAGCCGCCACACAGCCTTGTAGGTTCAAACAGCAACTCCTTATTCCTGAACTCTCACTGGCACT